ACTGATAACACTCAACCGACAAAAAATCTCATTAGACTTCTTCTTTATGGTTACTTCTGGTCGGTTTGTGAACACATCGGTCACCACCCCCCACAGTAATCCTTTCCTAGACTACTCTTGTACAAACAATCAGACTACACGCCCTAGTTCAAACCGTATACAGTAGTTGGAAGAAGTTGCTCATCGTGCTTCAAGTTGTATCGATTTCAATGTGTTAGTTACTGTGTACCACATATTAAGTGCTGAATATTTTTTTCAACCAACTATAGTGTTCGTAACAGTCTGTAGTCATGACAATTGTTGCTCTGTTGGTATTTGACAGGCGTTAGGGCAGTATGATTCAGCTGCAAGAGACTTGTTATCCCTCCAGAAGATTGAACCGAAAAATTCTGCCGCCAAGAAAGAATTAAAAATTGTTCTTGAGATGTGCCGTAAGGTATTCCAACAAGACTCTGTTTTCATTAGTAAAGACTGACTGTGCTGGGATATTGTCCACCTGCAATAAGATACCAAATGAACGCTTTGTACTTGCGTTTACGTATTTCAAGTTTTTTTCTTTCATAGTTAAAAAAAAAGAAACTCAAACTGTGATCATGTTCACTTTTGGCAGGAACGCAGGTCATCACACGACAAAAATGCAAAACTTAAAGAAAGAAAAGAGGAAAAGAAAGCCGAACAACAGGCACCGAAAATTAGTCACGAAGAGACGAAAACAAAATGGAAAAGAGTAACAATAAGGGAGGTACAAGATAGAGACCACGAGGTAGGTCGAGTAAACCCCCCTCCCCACCCCCACAAAACACCAAAAAAATGTGTTTTTTCCGGACTCTATTTTTATCTGGACTGAGTTCCTTTTAACTGGTTATGGAATCTCCTTTTGAGCAATGAGAACAACGAGATTTTACCTGAATATTGTCAAGCCCAAAAACGACTAACGCGTAAACAAGTTTGAGTAATACAACGGTTTTTTTTCCTCGCACCCCAACAACGTATGGGTGTTCGAGGATGGTACAACGAGAGAACTCTAAAGGAACCGCATCTCCCTTCTCTTGTTTGTGTCAGGTCTTCAGCACGCTATCCAATAAGGATTGTGATTTCAGAGTTCACTTCCCGTCGTATAAGCCTCTGGTGTATTGAAGTCATACTTGACCCTTGCGTATCACGTATGTGCTGCCTTCCCGGCCTCTACTACGACTGATGCTATCTTTTGTCTCCCAGGAATACGAAGGGCCAGTCCCCTCGCCGAAACAGCCGTCTCCTTCTACAGCTAACCAGCTTTCAGATAAAGCGCCAATTAATCCAATGGAAGGGACCACAACTGGAAGGCCAGTCAAGCTTGCAAAGGTTGACATCTTTAATGAGCAGTGATACTGTTTTCATCGTCATTTTCACTTTGTTTGCTTCTTCTCCATCGTCCATCTCTGATCCTTTTTGTTTCACAATTCCTTCCTTGGTGATTGACGATCACTTCAACGTTTTAATCGATTTTGAATTTTGTGGATCCTACGATATCTTCGCAAAAAAATTCGTGGCCCTTGATGAAGCTTCTGAAACAACGAGAGTTGTATCTATCACTGTGAGATTTCATTCGATTTTGAATTTTCATCCTCATTTTCGGGAGAAAATCGTGATCCTAGACGTAGCTTCTGTAACAATTGAAGTCTTATCACTTTCATCAGCGTCATGGCGTTACATCACTTAAGTTTAAACATGGTTGTTTTTCATTAGAAAACGCCGTATGATTTCTTTCAAGCGTGGAACTCGGTGAAAAAAAATGATACTAAAGATTATGCGGATTTACTGAGGCAGCTAGAGACGAAACACCTCACCAAAGGTACAAAGTCCGTAAAGATACTTGTTATGCTGAAAATGGGGAACGGGGGAGGGAGGGGGCGGGCTGTGTGTGAAAGGAAGGGACAGGAGAGAGGAGTGACAAGGGAAAGAATGGGATTAAAAGATAAACAAGGGAAGAGGGAATGAAGGATGAAAAAAGGAGAATTAGAGAATAACAAGGAGAAAAATAAATGGGAAATAGAAGTGGATATGTGAGAGAGGGAGGAGGGTTCAGAAAAAGCTCACATGAGGGAAGAATAAGAACCGTTAACCGATAACGGATGAGAGGAAAGTGGGATACAGATCGAGAAAGAAAGAATGGAAAGAGAAAGGGAATGAATTTAAAGGGGGTTCGATAGGGAGCGGGGAAAGGGAGAGATAGAACATGTGGGAAAGGGGAGGATAGAAGAGATTAAGAAAGGGACACAAAAGAGAATAAGGGAAAATGGGAATATAAATTACCAAGTAAGGGGCAAAGTTTAGAGGAGTCCTCAAAGAAGGTTGTGTACTGACATTGCATGTTTTTTTTTTTTTGGTCAGTTCTCAGTAATAAACTTGATGCTCCAATGTTAAGTAGCATTATAGCAGCCCTCAGCCAGGAAATTGTTCCACAAGGTAAAGACAAACTTTAGCTTTTTAATTCAAGAACAATTGAGGATTGAAACCTTAGTCGGAGTGGAGTCATAATTTTTTCCTATGATCACTTTGTTATTGTAACAGGAGAAGAAAAACTTGCTTGCCACATTCTGGAAGAGCTTAGTCATGTTGAACGATTCGATATGGTGTTGTTATTTATGTCGTCTAAAGAAAAGAAAGGTGAGAAACTTGGTTTTAAACTTCATTTTGTTGTTGTTGTCTCAAAAAATTGTTTCTTTGGGCCAATTACATCAATTTATCAACTCATTTCTGTTATTAGAACTTCAACAGCTTTTCTCCAACCTTCAAGTTGCGAGGGACCAGAAGAAGTTTGTCACAAGTGATGAATTTGAACAGCTACAAAAGAAGTACATGAATTAGGAATCTAGTTCACTTTACTGTAGGACAAGTTATGTGTTAGCTGTTTGACAATGTTATGAGCCTTCTTAGTTCCTTGCTCCACTTAACTCTTCTTAAAGCTGAAAGCACTACAATGTTGAAAGGGAAGGGGTGGGGTTGGGGGGGGGGATTCCATCTTAAGGAAAAGAGAGAAACAAGGCAATGTCAAGTGAAAATAATATACCTTTCTGACAATGGTATCTTTCACCTTTGGGGACAAACACTGATAAAGTCTTTCTCAGCAATCTCTAACTTCCAGCATGACTAACTGAAACAACAAACTAAATCTCTTCTCTTTCTTGGTTATAATTATCTATTATCTGACCACGTTTCTCTAA